ATCCAGGAGATAATATAGTTAATATAAAGTTTTACTCCCAAAACTTTACTTACTACTCAAAGTTATTCCAATAATTCGTCGCATTACTCATGTCCTTACGTATTGGGGATCTTACGGTATTAAATGTGTTGATTTGGAAAGCTTTTGTACAAAGTTATATTGAAAAAAACCGTCTCGTCCTTAATTTTTGCACACCAGTGTATGTCAGGTGTCTTAGAATTTTCTATATTTTACAATTTTCAATGGAGATGTTTTAAGTTGCCGTAACAAAGAGATGCCGTAACAAAGAAGTCGTGTGGTGTCCACATCGATTTTTAATTATTATTCTAACACTAATTATTCAGTTAGTTCTTAGCTGGTTTTTACTCGAAAAGCTTAAAACTGATATCATGATCTCTAATATAGAAATCGTCGTGTATTAAAACAAGACGCTTACTAAACTCAAATACTAGTGGAACAGAATTGGTTTTAACTAGCGGTGGGTACCATATGACGAATATATATTGGGAACATTGTGTAGCTAAATGTATCCAGACACCCAGTGGTACGGTCTCGAAGAGTCCTGAGGCATATATTAAATGTCATGTCGGTATCCCTTCTGCATCGATGACAGTCTTCACACGTCTGGGGAGACTTACCACTAGTTTTTGATAAATGGAAACTACCAAAAACTGGTGGTAGACCGTAGGAACTGACAGCTGTCCATCACAGGTGAAGTGAGTGTTGGCTGTGGGAATGGTCGATTTGGCTGGCTACGTAATCTGCGTTCTAATTCGCCCCAAAGGTTGTTGTTGCTAATGCCCACTTGTCTGACCAATAGTCAGCCCAAGCCCCCGAAATTCCTCGTTGAAAGGAGCGCAAGTTTACGCCTGCCGTTGGCAACAGCCATGAGCACCTTACAGGTGACATTGCGATTTAGCTGAGTTCCGCCTCCAGTTTTGAGGACCAGCACAGAGAAGGGGACGAGTCCGAGGGTCCCCCACCCCTCTTTCCCTACTACCAACCTCACGATAAGAGTTTCGACTCGCCGCATATTTAGAATGTACCCGTACCGTACGGACTCTGTACATTTGCAAACATCCATGCCTTCTACGGGATTCGAACCCGGGCCCTTCGACATGGCAGTCAGCGACGCTAACCACTATACGGGCTGGGCGGCAACTAAAGGTGTAATAGCCTTAAACGGAACATAAGAACCATGATGTTGACACCAACAAACTTTACATTCGGCACAATGCAGTCAGTTAAGAAGCGTTTGCCGGGCATCCGTCATAGCCAGACGCATCCATCGGACTGCCAGATTATAAAGCGAGGTTCATCACTCCAAAAATTACTTTTCAACATGTCCATTATCCATTATCCAATGGTGTGAGCTTTGCACCATTGCAGTCAATGCTTCGTACTTTGAGGAGTGATATTCGGCTTGTGAGCGACTGCAAGACCACGGAATCCAGGTTTTTTAACAATCGATAAACAGTCCAGTGATAGCAGTAATCGATAAGAGTGATAGCAGCAGCTATCACTAACACCTGATGATCTCTGGAACTCCTGTGTTATTTCAACCAACGAGGACTTGCGATTTCGCCTGACTACCCGTTTCGATGTTCTACGGTTACGTTCTCTAATTTTTTTTTTCGGCCTGCTACGCTTTTGTGCGGTTTCACTGCCTCGGCCACATAATTACAGTGGATTGTGGCTTCTGTAGAATGTTCGAAATTCCACGAAGTTGGAATTTCCCACAAAGGTGGCATCAAAGGTGGTTTTCCACGATTTCCCACAAAGGTGGCATCTAAGGTGGTTTTCCCCGATTTCCCACAAAGATGGCATCCCACTGTACGTGCACGATCAAAGTCCCAAAGCTTCTGTGACTTACACTCTGCCTCACAAAGGCATAGATGTGACCTGAAAATCCATTACCAAGACTTTAATAGCTTTCGGTTACGCATCAAATAACGTCACCTGCCAGATTCTCTTCTTTAGAGCTGTGTCCGGATACTTTTGGACAGCTAGTGTGTATAAAATATGGCATACATTAAAAACACTTTTATGGGAAACTGGTACGTTTAAGAGATTATTTGTAAACCCAAATTCTGGTGTAGACTTTCCCAAATTTCAAAGCATGAATGCAGTACCTGTTCTAATATGAACTCATGCGTTTTCCATCTTTTATATTAAATTAATTTGTACACTTCTGAAATGAGTAATGTGCTTCAGAAAGCTGAGAATAAAAAAGACACTGCATCTTAATTTCTAATTAGTACGACTTAGAGCCTGCAACGGTAACTGTTTTACAATTATTTTCTTATTTTCCATTTTTATTCTTGAAATGCCATTAAATCCTTAAAGAAAAACTTTCCCTTTTTATACATGTTTTCTTTTGGAACGAAAGCTTTACATTTCGTATTCAGTTTGTTTTCTTGATTTCCCACCTGGGATCTGAATAGTTTGCCTTGCACAGCAAGATTAAAATTCAATTAAAAAGCAATAAACGAGTTTCCTCCAATTCGTAAATCTATTCGCGTTTCCTTTTTGAACAGAAGAGGTGATGTTAAGAACATTTTATCGCTTTGCTATCACCTAGAAAAACATAAACAGGCTTAAGAAAAGGCCATATATATAAATGTAAATGCACCCTTGGGTATAAAATACCGTAAAGTGCGATCTCAGACATACTAGTCTTCAAAAAATAAAATTAAATTTAAAAAATGAATTAAGGGAAGATGCTGAGGAAAGCAGCTTTCTCATAAAAATGCTTGATATAAAAGGTTAAAAAAAACTTCGATAAAAAAGTGGGAAATATATGGTGGGTAGAAATTTAATAATGCTGACATTTCTAGACTTAAAAAGAAAACCAAAATATCCAAAACAAGGAAAGACGAAAAGAATTTTTTAAAAAAGACATTCTCATAGGAAAAAGGCTTTAAATAAAGAAATGCTCATCTTTTATTTGCAGCTATTTTGAATATAATGTAATAAACCTTCGTCTTAGACAAATTATCACTTGTAATTAAATTTGTTTTCGTTGATAAGCACATTTTTTCCGAAGATTTACCTAAGCTTTCATTGACAACTCTCTGGCCATTTACCTTTCGAAAGTTTTTGTTACTATAATCGTTTACCGACTTCAAGTTTCTGAAAAACTTAAATACTTGCTTCGTTTATATGCCAAAGATAAACTTTCCCCCAAAGATAAACTTTTTGCCACATTTTTGCCACAATCCTAACCTGGCGTTAGCAGTGTTTCTTTCCCTATTTCACCAGTTGTCAAGACCTATTTATAAAACTGCCTACTTGTCACGTTTAAGGATGTTGAATAGCATCACCCTACCTAGTATAACAAATATTTTTCTGTTCTTTAGTCTCTTACCTGAAAATTAACAAAGACAATCATCTACAAGCGCACTTTTAACTGAGCAGTAGTTCTCATTGTAATGCCAGCTGAAAGAAGTAGGAGTGCGTACCTACTGTCTGTCTTTTTAAGTGAATTTTGCTTTGTATAACCCTGATACAACCTCGCTCGGATGCAGTTTTTAATGATTTTCGTCTTTCTAATCAAATGGGCATAAAAGCTGAAATTCCATCCAATATTTCACCTATATTTAATTTCAGTCGATTAAACGTGGCAAAAAATTTATCATAATTGATCAGAAATCAAAAACGCAAAAAAACAAACAGACATTCTTCTTTAGATGTGTAGATTTTGTAAAACTTACCAATATTTGATTAACAAACTCTACGATTTGAAAACGAGCAGTGGCAACACTTCGCGAAATAAAGCAGATTTTTATCTGTAACGCGCGAGACTGTTGCCGCTCGGAAAAATTAGGGGGGAAATCAGCGTTTTCAGAGTTTTTAATTAATATCTCTGATATTAGCTTTTTTAGGGGAGGAGTGGACTTCGATCTTTCCCAGGACCCCCAAAAAATTGTAGAAAGTTTGGTGACGATAGCTACAGTAGTGACTGCATTACTCCCGAATACACTTTATATATATAGAGAGAGAGAGAGATGATGCGAGCATTTATAATTGCAACTCCTCCTGAGTTATATGTTATTTTGGCATAGAATTTTGAAACAAAATTTTGAAAGTATAATTGAAGAAATGAGTGGAAATAAATTCGTTTACTATCATCAAAGCTTAGCTGAAGATTCTACATTTCCAAATATGAATCAATGAATATAGATCATCTGATTATATGCAATTTTTCTTTAAATTTTATTACCTATATTTTATTGCATATTATTAATTAATCTTTTCGGTGTTGCCAACAAATAGTATAATTTTTGAAATAAGAACTTACTTCATCTCGTCTTTTCGCCTTGATTTATCCAAATAAAACATCCTTATCGACCGGTGTCTGCGAATGGCACATAATAGGCCTCGTCTAGATTGCCAAAAGAAGAAAAGTAATTTCGCCAGTTGTGGTTGAAATTTCAGTCGATATCTCAAGTTATCTCTTAACATCGGAAAAATTCCGAAGTGTAATTAGGAAATATCATTACTTCTCGTCTCAGCGCTGATGGAACAACATTCATCTGATACATATCGATAAAAATAATTTTTATTTGATGGAAAAACGCGAATGCAGAAGACTGATTTTTATAAGACAAAAGAAGGCAGTAGTGTGACAACTAAAACCCAGAAGGGGACATATTCTGCAGAAATACTGCCATTAAGAAGACATGCAATGCATGTGACAGTATTTAAAAATGGTATAATCTGCTGTTTTTATGTGCATAGCTTCCCATTACATTAACCAGAAGAACGCTTCTTCTTAAAAAGTGTTTATGTTTAATTGTCCAAACAGATTATGTCTTATTTTGTAGAAAAATTCGTACCTATATTTGTCGTTTACGAATGTTGGGATCTTTTTCCCCAATTAACTTTTTACGTTTCTGCGATCAAAGTTTTGTTTATTAGAAACAGGACAAAGCTGTATTTGACTGATAACATAAAATTCTTTTAAGATTAATGTCTGCATCATATCGCTGTTCTTACAGTTCCACCGAAGATCACGTGGGTTCAGATGATGGCTTCAACCAACGAGACTCTTCTGTTTGGCTGGCGTCGTCCCAGCCACGACAATGGGGCTGACATTAGTCACTACGTAGTAACTCTTAGCCAACAGCAGAAGATCGTGGCCAATGAGACTCTACCAGTCTTACCGTCTGAAAGGCAAAACTACATCTTCATCTTCGTTGGTCTGGAGCCCGGGGAATGCTACTCATTCCAGGTAAAAAAAAATTATATTTTTCCCTTAGACTTTTAAGTTCCTAATTGCGTATTTTATAGGGAATTTCTAATATATTTTCTGGGAAATGCACATAGTGCGCAAACAAGTAAAATCTTGAGATAATAATAGCCTTACGCGAAAGCCGGGTATGCATTTTGGATCATCATTTACGAATCTTCTTCAGTTATCCAAGTTTCGATATTTTGTTATAAGTTTCATAGCCCAATGATAAAACATAATTAATTTGCAAGGTAATCTATTTTGTGCCTTACCCTCTGTGAGTTAGGACATATTTAATAATACATAAGAAGCATGACTGCTGTCTCCTGCAGGAACTGTATCGCGATTGAGATGGTGCAGCACAACGTTCGTTAGTAAGCGGTTGTGCCGTGCACCATACGCCAGTGTCACTGTACTCAAGCTGACTTATTTCACTGAATATAATTGTTATTACATATATCAGGTTTCGTTAAATATAGAGTGTTTGAACTAAACGTTTTAATATTTTTGTAGGGTTCTTCACTCTTTTTGTACAAGATGAACGTCGAGGAACCTAGTGAACAGTTTAGCGACTTATTGCTGAGTTCAAAAAGATGTAGACTGAAGAAGGGTTAACTACCCTTTATTTCACTCAAATAAGAATAACAGTGGGCTTCTTTCTCCGGCTTGCAACAAAGCCTCCATTCGGGCTGTAACTAAGAATAAGAAATAAGAACTAAACTAAACTTATCTAAATGAGACTTAGCCGAAGCTAAACACAAGTATCTACCGTAACTGACCCTCAATTAAACTAACGACTATCAAAAGGCACATGATACACGGCCGAGCGTAACAGCTTCAAGAGAGACTCAACCCGAAGGCAAACACGCGCTACGAAGAATTCCAAGCTCCCTCTCGAAGGAAGTTGAACCTTCCTTAAACACGTCTTCTAACTCATTTACATTCAATGCGATTCTAAAACCTCATTCTGGTACGGAGTTGTAAGTGGAAACAAAAATTGATAGGAACTTTAAAATTAAAATAACTGTTATAAAATTAAAATATACCTTACAACTCAAATTGTAAATTGGTAGTGAAATGAGGTTTGCTGTACATAATGCAGTCATTCATAAAGCTTGCATTTACCTTGCACTAGTTTCTCGGAGGAATAGATTAGATAAAACGGCTCGTGGCCATCTCGACTAACACCCCTAGACATCTTTCTGTGGGACTGTTGTTGTCTTTTCCATGAATTTCATGGAAGAATTGTTGCCAGAGCTTCAAGGAGTTAGACTTCTATTTCCACCCCAATTTTGAGCGGGTTCGTTCGCGAATCTCGAACCCCTTTTCCCTATCACCAATCACACGACAGGTCTTCTTTCGGCTCGCCATATATTTAGAGTACCTCCATGCAGCAAAGACACTGTACATTTACAAACATCCATGTCTTCTTCTGGTTTCAAACCAAAGAACTTCAGTACTCAATATACTCCCCTAACCACTATACCGTCCGGGCGGCGTCTGTGGGATTACTTCAAGGATTTGTAAGATGACATAAAAAACTGAGGACCTGATAGTACGCAAGGAGGGAAATTTAATTACGTTCTATATATAATTACAAATGGCATATTAGCAGAAATTTGACCTCGGGCTGTATGTACCCCGCTCATCAATGATGTTCACACCGAAGGGTGAAATGGAGATTTACATCTGAGATGAACAATAAAAAAGAATTTATGAATATTTGCCGTATTTTTAAGCACCTAATTCAGAATCAGAGTTATTAAACATTTATGTTATAAAGCTAACTGTTGTAGAACTTCAATATTTTGCTTTCGCAGCTTCTGTGCCCTTCATATATGAAACGACGAACAAAAATCTGAAGCTATCTTCCAAACAATGGCTAAATCATTTTACGGCCTCTTGAAAAACTGAAATAATGAACCAAATTGCCTAATCCTTACAGCCATTTATTTCCAACTGAATCAAACGGGACAAAAAAGAGGATGTAACACAAAAAGTGGCCATTCAGGGATTTCTAAACCTTCGGAGAGGAAAGAAAAAAAATGGCGGAAAATTTAATTACCTCCATTGCACGAAAACTGGAAAAAGGAATATTTCATGCCATCATAAAAAAAAAAAAAAAAAAAAAAAGGTTTTTGTTGCATTTTCCACCAAAAAAAAAAATCTAGCAAATGAATCGGAATGCTGTCTCAAAGCGAAACTATTTCAGCTCCCATTATAAACGAGTTATTTCTAAAAAGAAATAAAATTATTTTCGAGTTGCCAAACGGAGTTTACGAAAAATGAGGAAAAAATTGTTAAACTTTAGCATGATAAGTTGTATCGGATATTCCTCGTGACCTTGAGACAATCCAATTGATTGAATATTTTAAATCTGCAGCGAAGTGGCTACAGAAAAGAATATTTTAGCTACCGGTGTCCTTTTTTATGCTACAGAAGCAAAAAAAAATAGAAGTTTACATTTTAAATACCTCAGAAAGATGAAAGAAATAATTTCTTTAAAAATGCCATTCTTTAAAAGTATTTCTTTTTCTCAAAAGTTCCCTAAATAGTAGTTTTATTTACTTTAGAAGCAAGTACGCCAAAAGGATGCATTTTCCAAGCGCAATTTTTCGATTGGCTTGAGCATCAAATTATACTTTTTCAGTTTTATGCAAATATAATTTTGAAATGAAACCTTAAGAATTGCTTCTGTAAATTTCTGTTTGAATATTTCCTTTAAAAAGAAGGTTTTCGTAGAAGAAGAGTAAGCATGAGTAAGAAACACAAAGCTATTTTCTGCTTTATCTTATATTTGCTCTTCATAGAATTCTGTTTTGAAACTAGAAAAATATGTACTTCGTTTCTAAAGCGATTCTTGCTGTTCCTTTTATTATATTCGTTAGAGCTAGATTTGTTATTCATCTGCATTTCTAACGAATTTAATAAAATACTATTCGCTTTATGAAAAGAAGCTAGTACTAAATTAAATTTAAAGTCTGCATTCTAGAAACTGAGAAATAGTTGAAGCCATTCCTAGAAAATGGATGCAAAATAAAGAAAACTGTTAACAGTAATTGATATAAAGTAAATAAAACACTTTTCGCTATAGTTTTCGGAAGTTACCCAGAATTCTATTCTTCAGCTGAAAATAGGAAAATGGACGAAGAGAATTGTGTAATTATCTGCGAATGCAAGAGAAACTTCCAGAAACTTCTGTCCTTTTGATTGGTTGTTGTAAAATCAACAAAAAGGAAATAAGAATCAAGACTTTTAAATACTAAAGATAATTACGAGCTCAAATTTGCTGCATTAACTGAAACTGAAAATTTTTTTTAAAAATCCCTTACGCCATTCTATGACATTTTTTAACCATTTTTGCATCAGAAGACTGGAGAACGTAATTTTTCAACTCGCAGAGGTAGGCAATATATATTGCATGTACTCCTTCTTCCCAACCATAAAATTCATACCCTTTTATATAAAAATTCATGGTTCATCTTGTAGAGACATTAGGTTTTTCTAATGCTGTAGAAGTGAAAAATGAGCAATGACCTCACAGGGACGAATCTTGGACCTCTCGAATACAGCCGAGCGTTGCTGACCATTACACCCCGAAAGCATGCTAAGAAGGATGGAGAAATATCTTATATACTCCAACTTTTAAAGGGCGACTGGGGATTAGGGGATCCATTTACTAAATCCTGGTTGCGGAGAATCATCAGTCATCACCTTTTTTAGTTCGGGCGCCACTGTAGAGTATTTTAGAATTTTTCGAAGTCGGGAAGAATATGCAGTGCCCTCGTCGGGAATCGAACCACAGACCTCTCGAATACGCTCTGACTGTGCTGGTCATTAACATCATGAAAGCATGCTGAGAAGGTGGGAGAAATACCTTATAACCTTGTTTAATAAATATAAACATATTTCGAAAACCTAAACTCGAGCGAATATTTTGCGTTTAAAAGAGAAAAACTGTATATGGATGAATATAAAATATGGCAATATATTTGTGTCTTCTGTTTGACAATAAACAATACCTTATTGCAAATAACCAATCTAAACAATGATAGTAAATTCTTTGCTCCTAAAACCTAACCGTTGATTATGGAAGAAAAATCAATGAAAATTACGTATCAATAACCATATCCATCTCAAACTGTAATGCAGAATCACAACACTGTTGCATGATCATTACGAAATGACTTAGACGTTCCTGGCGAAAACTTTTCTACCCCTTCTTTGGGTCACAGATTAGACTTTTCTTAGCTTGCATCAAGGAAATAAGAGCTTCAGCTCGTTTTCTCTTAAAGCCTTAAACCTCTTCAATGAGATTTTTGATTTAGAAAAGCAGACGGGATTCGATGGATATTCTCATTCTCCAGCAAATTCTTCAAGTTTCTGCTTCGATGAAACGTGGTATTATTATCTTTAAAATCAAATGCCTCGCCAACTGCAACAGCATGTCACCATAGTCTATTACATGTAGTTCAGTACACCAATCGGTCATTAATGCCTCCCCTCGCCATCATAACCATACCTATCCTACATACGTTCTTGCACGTACGCTTTATTCCTTTCATGTCAAATAAATCGGGGTCAGATTCCCGCTGTAGATTGAGCTGGCTGTCGTCGGAGAACAAAGACTTCCACCAAAACTGGGCGATTCATATCTTCACCGTCCAGTTTCAGTTTATCTAACGCTATTGCGGTGCTCTCTGGAAACTTCCGCACCGACTATTAGTTATTCAGCATTTTAACTTTAGCTAATGCAAACCTGAGCCATGACTCGGCGAGGTATCTTCGTTTTTGCAGTGTAATAGAAGCTTCTTTTATATTGGCTAATCGTATAAAGTTTATTGAGTTTAGCTTTTACTACTAAATATCGGTTTTCCTATACAATCGTATAGGCAGAGTGATCATCTGCAATGTGTCTAAAGCATACGCCAATCGTATTTGAAAAGCTATCGAAATCTTGGAGCTAATGCGTTTCACATTCAAATTCCACTGCAACTTAGGTGAGTTTTAGACCTTCATGCAGTGTTTCTTTAGTTAGGAGCAATAACTTTATCGCTGCGCGAACTTCATTAAAGCACTTTTATGGGGTTTCCTTAAACTTCATGAATCTCAGGGTTTTTCCGTGGATGTCAAATAAATTCAGGAATTTTGTTTTTTACAACACCTCTTGGACAGATGTGGAGTGTTTGCCAGAAGACCCATTCCTTTTACCCCACTTACATCTTCATACACAGCCCAGCGACTGAAAAGAACAAGAAAGCATGTCACTTGAAGAAGAAAGTAATGATTACTAGTAAATTTCGTAAATGAGTAAAGGTTCTCTATAACATACCATGATATGATCTGAAGATAATACAGAACATTCTATCGAAAAGATAACGTCCTCGTTTGGGTAGGGATCCAATTTAGATGGTTCATTGTCCTGCGGGATCTAGCGCTGCTCAGATGAATAGAAATGATATCCGAATCGATTATGATATAAAATCAAACATTGCTTTAATCTGTGATTCTTCTTCTTTAATGGTAGATATAGTTCACCTTTACACTATATTATATGCATCATTGGCGAGTATCTTCATGAGCGAGATCAGTAGATCTTAATCCTACAAAGTACTTGTAGAACGATTAGGAAAGAGGGAGATTTACTTGTCCTCGCTCTCCAGAAAACTTAAATGAGCTGAGCCAGAGGTTTGCGACATATAATACTATTGCTGCCTATTGAAATACGTATCTTTTAGTTTAATCGACAACATGGGGATAAAATTCCAAACCTGCATTAATACCAAAGGAGGGCCATGAATATAAATAGTTTTCATTTATTTAAACATCATATACATTAGTAGGTATAAAACGTTGGTTTGGAGCCACAGGGCGCTGGCGCTCGCAGAGGGGGACCTGCCAAGGAGCACGCGAGGGTTGCTACGTCATCAACCACGCGGCTTAACCCCGGACGTGCTGCATCCTGTTCGTGACGTCATCACGCATTATCACCTCCGATTAGCTTGCTATTATTATGTCAGACACATGTTTCATTCTGTTTGTGTTGTATTCCGGTTTCATGTTGGCGCTTATCTATTAACGCTAATCCGCCACGTGATTGCAAAATGAGAAAAGTTTCTAGCGCATTCTTTTTGGTTCAGCAACGGCCGCTAGAGAGCAGTGGTCTCACCCATAGCGCTTTCTGATTGCTTCTCGTGAATCCTGTTAAGTTGTTAACTATTATTTTTAATTGATTACAGTATTTGATTTAATATAGTAGTATTTAATGAAAACGTTCACGTATTTGTACGAGTTTTAAAAAAAAGCCCACGGCTGGTACTTGAACCCTACATCTATGGCATGGGAAACGTGGGCGATAACACAAACCCATGCTTTTATCTCTTGAATGCTATTATTTGACCGTGTCCATCCTCTTTCTGCATTTGACTTTGTACAGCGGAAACCAGCTTAAGGCTGGTGGATTGTGCATACGCCAATTCTGTTCCAACTTGCTCAAACCTTTGTACATCCCCGATGATGAACGAACTCATAACTTTAAATTTATTTTGTTTCTGTGTTAGGATGAGATTTTTTTTTCTTAAGTTTCTCTTTCCTTTATGTTACAAACCTAATTTATTTTTATGTTTTTCGCAGTGTACATGTCATTCTTTAATCACAAATTTGTTTTGTAATATCTGCATTCTTTAATTGTAAATGTGCGTTTTTATGTTTCAGGTGCAGGCATGCAGCCAAATAGGATGCGGCAGCTGGTCCGACGAACTAGATGCCATTACATCCGATGGCAGTAAGTATGGTTAAAGTATTTTCATAAGTAACTGTTTGCATAGTTAGAAAAAAGCGTTTAATTTTTTTAATGCAATTTTAAAATAAGCATAAAAATTGAGCTGACGGTTGCAGTTGAAATGTACTTCATTTATCGTTTCCCATATTCAGAGTAGAGTAACACATTTAATCTATGCACATGTTATCGACAGTGTATGGAAGCCGACATTCTGTGTAAAATACCCAGGCATTTTATAGAATGCCAAAAACTGGCCTTCACTCTATGAAACGATTAACATTTCATACATTTTCTAGGCATGCTAGAGAATACCTAGTGCCAAATGACAAACTGGCAAAGTATGAATTACAACTTAATATAATATAGGGTGTTTCAGAAAAATATATACTCAATTTGAAGTGTCGCAGAAAATTTATTTTGCAGCCCACAAAGTTAAGTTCCTAGGAAAAGTAAGGCTATAGTCCAGTTTGAAAAATAAACGTTCTTTCTGGTCAAACTGAATGTTACAAATGGTGTTTAAAGCAAATATTCAAAATGGTGGCCTTCTACACTTCTGAGTATGAGTCATGACTGATTCTATACTCCGCACCCAAGTGTCCAATGGGATTTCTGCTTGACACACCGCTTGAATGTCGTCCCAAAGTATGTCAAGGTTACGTGGTTGACGAAAGTGCACCTGATTTTTTATTGTGCCCCATAATAAAAAATTGGATCGGCTTAAGATCTTGAGCTGTGGTCGGGTACAATTTTGTGAATGGGTTCAGAAGATCTTTACACGTGAACCGGGATTTACAGGTAGCATTATTTGGTCGGATGCAGCACAATTTAAACTTAATTGAGCTGCCAACAGGCATAATTATATGTACTGGGGTGAAGATGATCCCCACATTACTGTTGAAAAGGCTGTGAATTTGCCTGGTGTGAATGTGTGATGTGGTGTGGTGTGGTTTGTCTCGTTAGGTACTCAGTGGGCCTTTCCGTTTTGAAAGTATTGTAATTGGAGAAAAGGTACTTAACAATGCATTCTGATTCCATTTTCCCTGCCATTCTGCAATGTATGGTAATGCCAAGTTTAATTACCAACAAGGTGGTACTCCTGCACACTATCATAGGGATGTGTAAGCATACCTGGAACAAAATGTACAGCCGATTGGATGGGACACATGGAACCAATCGAGCACGCTTTCCAGGTTTTACAATGCTGGTTTTCTTTTAATGGCGCACAGTAAAAGATGCAATGTCTTAAACCACGAAGCACTGAAGCACTTTTCAAAGCAGTGGAAATACTGTTCGAAGTACAGCATTTTTGTCTCCAACGCGAGAGAATTTTGCCACTCGAAAAACTGAGTGCGAAAATGAGTGTTTTCAGAGTTTTTTGAATTAATATCTAAGCTGATTAATGTTGTATGAAAATTGGGAACAGTCGAAATGGCTTCCCACGAATTTTTAGAATTCAGAATAATGTATTTAATATTTGACAATGTTAATTCTATTTCATTATGAAACGTCGAAATTATTTATTAGCAAACTCTATGATATGAAAGGAAGTAGCAGTGGCAACACTTCTCGAAATAAAGCAGATTTTTATCTCCAGCTTGCGAGACTGTTGCCACTCGGAAAAATGAGGGCGAAACTTAGCGTTTTCAGAGTTTTTAATTAATATTGCTGATTTTAGCTTTTTTTTTTTTTTTAAGAAAAGTAGACGTCGACCTTTCCCAGGAACTAGGAAAGAATTGCAGAAATTTTGGCGACGATAGCTATAGCAGTGACTGAGTTTATCGCAAACAAACACACAAACATTCTTCTTTGTATATATAAATATCAAAATCCATACAATCGTTAAGGAACTAACCAAATCCTCTCAGCGTGATAGTGCACTTTTATTGAAAATCATAACAGAATCACGTGTGATAGCAAGAAACGCCATAGCAACAAACGATTATAATAGATATTCCAGAAACAATTTTATCAAGTGCACGTGATGGAGAGTCTGAAGAAAAGATTTATCCACTGAATGGCTATTCCATTGAAGAAATAGAAATATATCTTAGATGCATGACTGATCGAACGAATTCAAAGATGTGTTATTTTAGAACACTTTTAGATATATGTATCTGGGTTTTAACTGGAAGACGAATTTATCTTTCTCTACCTGTTCTCATTTTGAAAAAGACATTCTGAGAAATTTCCTTTGAAACCATCTTGAATACTGTAGGAAAATATGTTGCCGACAACTATAAAAATATTAAGAAACGATTTTTATCTGTATAGAGAGATTATTATTATTCATATACTAAGGAGCAATTATTATTATTATGGTCGTGGTTGGGTTGTCTGCAATAACCCAAAAAGGAGAAATAATTGAATTTGAGTTTGGTGTCCCTTAATAACCTAAAACTGGATAAAAGATAAACCTTAACTTACCAACGTAATGGTGTCATGAAAGAACATTAGATCTTCACCTGTGAAACAGATATTTATTCAGAACATTGCTATTGTAGTAGAAATTTAGAAATCCATATTTAATCATATCGAAATCTAGCTAAACACTAATTACATGATGGCACTCGCGAGCCCATCGCAGAAGATATAGGAAACCGAAGGAAGTGAAAAATATATATTCATCGCAAGAATTATAAATCATTTTTAGATCAACTGCTTGTAGAATATTATAGGACTTGGAAGGAGCGAAAAATACCCGTCCAAACATACTGCTTAGTTGATCTCGTGTCTCGATGCAGAGTCCTCCAGCGGCAGAGCAGTAAAATCACTGAACACTGCTAGTTCCATCTTGGGTACGATTCGTGGCGAATTTTTTGACTGCATGGGCGTTTTCGTGGTTTTCCTCATGTGTGACGTGTATATTAAGCAATGGCTTCCCTTCAATTAGGACCAGACTGTGTGTCGATGCAAATATGGCGTAAAGAACTTGCCTGGGGATTCATTTCTGAATTTACGAAATATTCTTCATTCTAACAAGATGTTCGACGAGAATGATTTAATCATCTTGATAGAAAAATATTAAAGACGTTTAAAGGTTAAGAAAAAAATAATTACGTGAAAAACAGAGAAGACTTTGCTATTCGAAATTGTCACACCGAATCGGCGAGAGAAGTCGCCAGGATATCTCGCAGAAAACATTCACCGTAGGCTTCTTCAGTGCGTAAAAGGATAAGTGTAATCAAAGAAACACCCAAACCGGTCTGTTTATAGTCTTTTTAGCCAGCGTCCGAAGCCACAGTCAGGCTTGCCTTCTTTAATACATATTTAACAACTTTTGCATTTATAATAAAAAGATTCTTTGGATTAAATTCATATTCTGCACCTTAGCTCAATAAATGATCATTCTTTTTATGTGGGGAAGATAATAAAGCTCGTTGTCATAAATTTCATGAAACATTTTTAAAAACCACTAAGAATTCTGAACCAGATACTTAACACGGAGTGTTCTAAAACATCGTTTACACTTTTTGAAAGCAGAAATTTTAATAATAACAAGTCTTAACTTCATATTTGGTGTCATTTCTTAACATCATTTCTACTCACTCTTACTAACCCATTTTTTTCGCTTTTTGCTTTATCGCTAAGCATCATTCTCTTCGCACTTACGCCATATAGAATTCAACAGCGATATTACTAATATTTTAAAAGCAGCATTCGTGTAGAATTTCCGATGCAGCGTTAAAGTGTTGGCATATGTTTTTCTGTTTTCGTTTTTCAATCTTTTTCTCAGTTCATCATATCAATGTTCGGTTTTGTTACTAAGATGGCTTTACCAAACTTTTTTTGTCTTTTTTATTATGAGCGTTTTGTGCGTATATTTTATTTATTAAATATCACGTCACATTAAATTCAATTTGATTACAAAATCACAAAATTTTTAAAAACAGCATATCCTTACCCTTTCCGACAGACAGTCTTGCGCGCTGGAGATAAAAATGTTCTCCTTACAGCGTTGCCATTGCTCGCTTTGAGATCGTAGAGTTTTTTAATCAAAAATTCTTTAAATTTTTACAAAATGTGAAACAGGCAGTAAAACAAATTCGAAATTCAAAATTCGGACTTCTAAATGTTCCGGGTGGAGGACTAGGTTATTCAGAATTGGATGGCTTTTAGTACCGCTGTTTTTTCACAATGTGAGAAACGCTTCGTTATTTAATTTATTTAAATATAACACAGGGCGATGATTTTTGGTGGCAGCAATTTGAAAAGTGAATACATTGCATTTAAGTGTTTCTATGCAAAATACCGTTTCGAAATTAATAACCCTTTTGGGCTGAAAGCTAACAAGTGCGTAAATAAACAATTAGCTCGAGTGATTCGAAAGAAAACGGGTCCGTATAAAAATACAGATAAATGAAGTTGTAATACTCTTAGCAAATCCAATTAATTGTTGATAATCTAAAAAACATAGATGACCTAAAAACGTTTTACTGTACATGACTATAAAATAAAAATAATGTTGATCTGATCATTGGAGGCTGATCAATAGAATTCTGCTAAATTATTGTAACAAAATTCAAGCACCGTTTAAAATTTGAAAGCGAAAGTAGAAAAATAAACCGCAAGCTTAACTTAAAATGCCTCAAAAAAGAAAAACGGCAATTCGTATATCTTGACTGCGAATAAATGAAATGTTGCTGTATTAACACTGTTAACAGATTCATTGTATCGTTTTTATTATTGCCCTGATAAATGGAATATCTATAATGGATTTGTGCAGAAATATTTCAAAAATGAGACTTTGCTTCTATTGCAGTGGCTGACCCACCGGAAAATATCGAAATGCGGTGCTTCCATGACAGCACCCAGAACCTCAACTATGTGGTAGTCACGTGGGACACACCAAAGAATGTGAGAGGCAGCATCCAAGCTTACAATGTAATGTGCTTTCAATAGTCTCTTTCCCTAAAATTATCATTTGTTACTAACAAATGCATTTGATAAGCTTCAGTAACACAAAATGTTAATGTAAGTAACATGTTAAACTATGTACTAATATAAAATTGAATGAAACAATGCTCTTCAAGAACGTTAAACGATGCATTGCAATTAGGAATAGAAAAGTGTGCGACCGCAACTAAGTTAAGTTAAATAAGTTACTTCTACTTAGTTTTTATTATTAACTTAGATTACTTATATGAAGCCATATTACAAGATCGTTGATACAGGTGGACCTTATTTTAAAGATAAAAAGTTTATGCTTTATTGCAAAAAGGCATTTACAGAATTTTGTAACTTTATAAGGTATTTCTCCTGCCTTCCTAACTTACTTTCGTGGTGTAGTGGTTTTGCACGCTGAGCCGGTATCCACAGGCCCGTGGTTCGATTCCTGGCGAAAGCGTTTGCACATTTTTCATCTTGCCTACTTCCAATTAACCTAATGACTCTACAACTTTATTCGAAAAGTATTTATTTATTGGGACACCTCATAAAATTTTTACTTCATTCTGCGAAGAAGAAGAAGTATTGTAATAATTAAAAATTTCAGGTATCATATTTCAACGAAAATATCCATTGTCCGCTCTCGGATGCATTTGGACGATGTTTCGGAGTGACATCTGTACGTACACTCAGAATAAAAGACTCTTTTTACTTCCTTGTACGTAGTAAAAAGGAAGTATTGTAATCGCGAAAGTTTCAGGAAGCATATTTCAACGAAAATATCCATTTCGGCCACTATCGAATGCAATTTAACGGTGTTTTTGCGTGATATCTGTACGTAAGGACAGAATAAAAGATTCGTTTCCTTCAAAAAAATTATAAAACTGCTTTAAAATTAATTCTGAAGAGAATATTTCGTGGCGTCTGTACGAACGTATGTACGTACGTATCTCGCATAACTCAAAAACGAGTAGCCTCAGAACGTTGAAATTTTGTATATAGGACTGGCATAACATGTAAATGGGCGTCTCATATTTTGGTTGCAATCGGCCGCACCAAACGTATATAAATATATTTACATATATATCCACTCTGTTAACCGGCTCAGTGATCTGTTTCTTTACTCATATATGTTTGTAAATTGTACATTTTTTGCTTTAAAAAGGATTGAATTATGTTGTTTTTATCTTCCAGTTAAGGTTTTTATGCTTTTAGTAAATCTGTATGCAATATTTTTAGAATTATCAACAATTTTAAAGTTGTTTAAGTGCCACAAAGCCTTTTTTTTATGGCGGCCATTGATTGTTTACATTTGAAACAGCAGACTAATGGATTTGTTGCCAATCTAGAAAAACTTAGCTTCGCAACCACAAAGATAACGCCTTCATTTATTATTGCCAATTAAATCATGCTTAATCTTTTCTGGAATTTTTTCGAGGAAATAACTGTTTAATATTTACTTCGTAATTTTTAATATAGATATTTTGAGATTTTATGTATTTTTGCCTTCTCGCGAAGTGAGAACTGAATTAATTGAATGAGAAATACTCAATCGTCTGTGAAAAACTGTTTCTTTTTTGTTTTATTTGCTTAATTTCTTTTATACATCATTCTAGCTTTATTATAGTATTTGAATAGAACATGTGGCAACGATTAGATAATTCTATTCTTTAAATGAAATAAATTTTGTGCATTCTGAGTTATAATATGAACGAAATATAATACTGTTAAGTGAACCTAGCGCCAGAGTGTCGCTATGTTAAACAAAGAGTGAATGTTAAAGACTGCGTTTATTCTATTGTGATTTATGCGCTGTCGGCGAAGTAGATTTAATTCAATCCAATAAGTTTAAATGAAATGCAAGAAAAAATACGTATAATTTAATATTCCGTACAAGGAAGTCATGTGGTGTACACATCAGATTTTTTTTTTCTAAACAGATTGTAAAGTGGATTAGAAATGGTTTCAAAAGAGTTTTTTTCGCGATGACTGTACGTACCTGCGTAATTGGCGAAACTCAAAAAAAAAAAAAAAAAAAAAAAAAAAAAAAAAAAAAAGCGGCGTAGAACTTTGAAACTTTGTATATGGTATTGCTATAACTTCAGTTTTTATTCTTATATGTTGGTAAATTATGTATTTTTTGCTTTTAAAGTGATTGAATTATGTTGTTCTTATGTTTTGGATAAGATATTTATGCCTTTAGTTAATCTGCATGCTATACTTGCTGAATTATAAAAAACGTAAAAGTTTAAGTGGCGCTAGGCCTAACTAGGCCGCCATTTGTTTACATTTGAAACTCTTAGTAGAATAGTGAATGAAGTCAGTTTGTGCACCATTTTTAGGATCGTTTTGCCGAGTGAGACCAAAAGTTAACTTAGTAACACAGATACCTACAAACGTCACGAAAAAAACTCTTCTTAATCCATTTTAAATCAGTTTTGTGCGCCGAAACTTTTGCCTTCGTATCTGGCCGAATTGATTATTTTCGCGTAGAAGACTCTAATTTTAATTGGAAAAATTATTTTTTAACTGTTATTAACTGCGTTTGGTGTTTTAAGTTAAGTTGTTAAGCGCATTTTACAATTTTTAATGAAGATGGGTTGAGATTTTATGTACTTCTGATTTGCCGCTAAGTGAGAATTGAATTAATTGAATGAGAAATGTATCTCCAATGAAAATTCGAGGAAATAAGTTTAAATAAGTGCAGCAAAAATTTGTATTATTTAATAGGCATCCAAAGCATTATTTAATAGGCCATACAAGGAAGTCATGTGATGCCCACATCAGATAATTTTACAAAATAAACATGAATGTCTAACATATTTTCGCACTATATTCCTTTACTAAACTTCAGTGTAAGCTTTGTTATTTGCTGTCAAGTATGTGAGTATAATTTTGTTTCTGTCCAAGTGTGCTGGATATATGATGTAATTGTAGAAAACGATGAACATCTGATTGCAACATGTGATTGTAGATTAGCCAAAAATTACGTTAGACGGTACTGAAAGATTTAAATTCTGTGTATCGCAACACAATTGCGCTTTGTGCACAGTCGCTAGCTTCGTGCCAATTGGCTGGTTAAACACTATGCTGTCACCGCACTTGAGTAAGATCTAAGGATATCAACGTTACCTTGCCTGTTCTTATAATCCAAACTTGAATCTATTCTAATTATTTTGCTATAAAGTTACGAAGGTTGATGTACGGTAAAGCACAATATAGTGATTTACTATCAAATCAAATATAGGATTTTTGAACAGAAGCGAAACACGCCAATATAAAATTTAAAATTAGGCAATAAAGAAACAATGGCTTGCCACAGATTTGGAATGAAACTGTATCGATTTCGAAGGTAATCAAATGCAGATCCGTCTTCTTCAGGAGCAGAATTTTTTCCCCCTACAAAGATTTGAATTCTCCAGGAGATCAATTTTCCGGTAATTTTCTCCCCAGCAGTAAAATTCGTTGTTCGGTTCCGAAAGATTGCTTTTCCTATTTTAATTTTTTAAGCATTTATAGTATAACTTCTCAGTGTGGTTTGTCCCATGTCGCCCAAGCTAAACGAACGTTATAATATCTCGCCAAAAATCACAAATATTGTAATGGAAAAGGAAAGAAGAGAAAAAAACGATCTTCTGCAGCTAATCATAGTTAGACACTTTATCAGGTTCAATGTTTCTTCTAACCTTCTTCGGAAACATACAATGACCTGACTAGGAACAGAGAGCTTACTAAAGCTATGTTCACTAATTGTAGTAAGTAGACAGGATACAGACGAAGGGTATACAAAACCCTTTATTTTTCTTTATATACAATGACTTCCGTACTTCGGAATACAATGACCCTCCACTCGGGGTCTAACGTAAAAGGTATAAAAAATAAAACTAAACTCTAATTTAACTTTAGAATAATATACGTGGAAGATTGGCCTTATAATAATAGGAAGCGTATGTAGCACAGAGACTGTGAACACTACAATACGTTTAATTTATCAAGAGGATTAAAACCTCTGGCCTGGAAGGCAAATAGCAACTGCGTAACTTCTAAGGTAAGCGGCCTGCTTCGAACTCACGGCTTCCTCTCTTCTGCTTGGCAAAAAGGCCACACTTAAATACTTGGCGTTCGCCAGACAACTTTGCATAAAATCCTTCACGCTTATAATTCTGGCCGGAAGTAGAAAATAAGAAGTGATAGTAAAGATTTAAAATAAAATAAACGTTAGTAAAACTTAAGATCCTTACATACTTCCCGCCAGAGTTAATTAGTTTGAAACTGAGGTCTAAAACGACCTTGTTGAAAACTTTTAGCTCTAGAAAACTAACGCGAGGCCAACCTTTTACAATCATAACTTAGCTAGAAACTAGAAAATTTAAAAGAAAGAAATTTGTTACAATAGCAGCTCCCGGATATACAACAATTTTTTTTTCATCTGTACTGCATCTAAACAGGAGCTTTATTCAATTCTGGTTCCTTCCAGAGATCTGGAAGGAAAACTAGTTTAATGAAATGTTACAGAATGACATTGGCAAATAACATATAGAATATACTTCTCTTAACATTCTTATTTCATTCATGACTATTTTAATTATCTCTCCCCCGTGCTCTCTGACATGTGTTGTAAAAGAACACCAAACACGAATGTGTTTCTGTCTACGTGTTCCACACTTCCTCCTACAATCAAAACACTAACGTGTTAAAATTCAACATACGAGACCTCTTAACACACCCTAATTTCAACTCTAAACCCTGAGGTACTATTCTAAAAGTGGCTAACTCTGAAGTGTAGCGTCAGAGAGCCTAACTACCATCATTCAACCTTTAACATAATCGTTCATGATTTAAACTTTACAGTCACACGAATAACAAATTTTTAACATTACTTTCACTTTTACCATATCACGGTATTTCTTAACATTTAAAATAACAGTTCACATTGTATATAAGAACATATCAACATGCCGTTAATTTTACACATTTGAAAACATACATTAGTAGTA